TGTATATATATAAAAATACTTCTTGGTTTAAAAAGATTACCAGGATATAATCTTTTTTATAAACATTCATTACAGATGTACGTATGTTAATACAAACACAGCCTGCTGATTTAAAGGGCAAACAAGGCTTTTAACACAGAAATTCTAGTTTCTCAAGGATATTTCTATTAAAGATTCTAATATTTTTCTGGCTAAATTGTAAACTATTTGTTAAGTTGTACTTATTGTCTCTAAAACTGGGTTCCCTCTCTGTAAGAGAAAAATGTGAGTACTGTACTCCAGGTCCAGAAGGTCTATTTTTAAACCTGTTGGAATCCCTCTACAAATAGCTTTCTGCAAATAGCTGTATAGAGGACACAGATTAATTCCTTGATCTAATATCAGGATACAAGTGAGCTGTAAAATTATCTGTGAGTTAGTTCATTGGGTGGTTTTATTAGTAATAAAAATATTTCAAAAGAAACACCCAAGTTTCAAACCTGTGTCTGCTGAAATGACTTTAGCCGCTTCTTAAACCGTGAAGGGAGAACAAAATCACAGCCCCTTGCCAGGAAAGCTAACTCTCCTCTTAGATCCGGGTCCCTTCGTAGAGATGTTTCCTTGATCATCATCTTTGAAAAGTGAATGTTTACTTCGTCACTGTCCAGCACACTTCTGAAGATAGTCGGATTTAGTAAGTTGTCAATCTTGTCAGGTAGAAAGGTATTTTTTTCTTATCTCCCAAAGAAATGCAATTCAAGCATTGCGCTCTCCCAGCCTCCAGGGACCACAATCCATGCTTGTTCTGACAAGCTGCTGGTTCCCAGTCTGTGGCTCCCAATACCTGCTCATAATTTTTAAGTTAGAAACACAGCCTGCAATGGGCCTGTTGCTCCTTGTAGGTAGCTTTATGTCAAATTGACCTGCACATGTTGAGAATACGGAGCCTTCTGGGAAAGGAAGCACCCACTACTCTGAGTACCAAAGTTAGAAACATTATAGCTGCACCTAAAAATAGCAACTTCTCAGATAATGCTAACTTCTTAAACTCAGAGTATGTGAGGTGTCAAGCCACATAAAGCAGTTTCTCCTCGAACTAGAAGAAAAAGAACATGCACAGCGTTTTTGGCTTTTGCTATTTAATATTTTATGAAAAAAGAACAGGCTGAACTTCACATTTAAAACTATTATTTTAAGAATAGCTTTTATTTTTTATTTGAAGGGAAGTAAATATCCAAAACCCTCTAGATCTCTCTAGTCAAAACATCAGCAAAAACAAACTTTCATCCTCAAATTTGTTAGTCTCAGATTTTAAAATCTTTTTTTTTAAAGAAGACTATCTTAGTTATCAAGCATACTTTTTTTGATTATGGATATATTTGAAAA